TGTTTTACCCTTAGGTGTGAAGGGGTTAATAGCAGGGTCAGAACTTCTGGTGAGTGCTATATGCAGTTATATAGTGGAGATTATGGTGTCACAGCCTTTAAATACACCTGTATTCCCATCTAGCACCATTGGGGAGAATACAGTGTTGTAGGTATACATTTTTTGTGCTTTTAGTTTTACAAGAGTTACATCATTCATCAATATATTTCTATCTAGCCTGCATATAATCATGTATATATTAGTAGCTATACTGATTACCAGTGGAACTACCAGGGTTGCAGAAGTCACAATTGAAACTGGAGTTCCATCACTGGGGGGCAAGCAGCATTTCAAACTGCCCCTTATCTTAGTGATAGTTGGAATAAACAGACTGATTTCTCCTGTTCATGGGACAGGAGAATCAGTCTGCAAATGTAGAGATCTGTGGATGCAAAGGAGCAAGGGGCGGACTGACCATTTGGAAACTCGGGCACTGCCTGAGGGCCCGGGGTCAGTAGGGGGCCCCATGAGATGCCCCTAGTACCTTTTTCATAGGCATTTTTCAGTTTGGGGGCAAGGACACAGGGGCCCCATTATCCCCTATTGCCCGGGGGCCCCATGAGTTGTCAGTCCGCCCCTGAGAGGAGCTGAGTATCTATCACACTCTCCCAGCCTAGCGAGCACTCCCCTCCTCCCCTCATGGACAGGAGAGGAGAGAGGAATACAGCTACTCCTCCTTCTCCCACCCCTATTCCTCCTGTGTCATCCTGGCCACGTGCACTCTTCTATCCTGACCTGCAGCTGTGCCTGAGAGGGAGGGGATGTGTGGGAAATATGTAAAAACAGCAGCCATCTACAGATTCCCAGCTGTATCAATGAAGCCTGAGCAACCAGCTAGCAGCCTCAGTCCTCAGGTGAGGGGGGCGCAAAGCAGTGCAGTACACTGTAATCAATGAACTGCCCTTATCTCCCTTCTTTCTCTCCCACATTTGTCTCCCTCCCACTATCAGTTTGTCCAAGAGCTTCACAAATGTTCAGTTTCAATTAGTACTTAGGCAGCCCATTCATTGAACTATTAGGATGAACAAAACAAAACAAAAAAAAAGCTCCAATTCCCCCATCTACACATTCCAGGTGGATGAGGGAATCCTCCCACTGTGGACCAGTGGCTGAACAACCAGGGTTGCTGTCCTGCCCCTGCTACTGAAAATGTTGGTCTCTGTCTCCATGGCAATGGCGACAGCACATTAGGACCCAGTGCTAGTTACTTTATGGGGCTGATGGACACATGCTCAAGAGGGCCAGCACAATTGGCTGTAGAAAGCTAAGCCCCTCCACAGGTCACTTAGCAGCACTGGCACTGCATAGCCTTCTTTGACATGCTGATCAGGATGCAATTCAGGTGATGCTGGGAGCTCAGCTGTCCACAACCAATAGTGCCAGCCTTCCCCCCGCATGCCCCCATCAGCCCCATAATGTAACCAGCACTGGGTCCTAAAAGACTGCCACCACTGCCATGGAGACAAAGATGCCACACCAGCACTGTCAATAGCAGGGGCAGGACAGCAGGAGAAGAATAAGGGCCCCCATGGTGGCAGAATACCAGAGCCCGGTTGCAAGTGCGACCTTTGCAATACTGGTAGTTCTGCCACTGCGTTGGACTATTACATATCTCTCACTTTTTGCCAATGGTAGGGGCCTCCAAGATGGTAGGAAGGGGGTCCACTGCAGAACATATGAAAGGGTCCCTCTGCGGGATCGTAATAAAGGGCCCTCAACAGTAGTAAAGAGCCCCGGTATCAATGGGGAAGGTTGCAGGACCAGCAGAAAGGGACCTGGGACTTATGGGGAGGGACCTTTAAAGTTTCTTGCACCCGAGCCCTGAAGGCTCTAGTTACGCCTTGCTGATTATTAATTATTGACTTTTACATTGATTTAATTTCAATGCAGAATAGGGGTTTTAACTACTTCTGGTCTCCTTATCTCCAAGATGGTGGTATTTCTTCATGAATATATTGCATCATTGCAACATATTATAAAGGTGTCACATTTAAGAACATAATGGTTGTGCTGCATGCATTGGGAATAGCTATGAAACTGTCACATTTATTTATAAACTCTGCTCAAGATGTCCGTATACAGCCAAATTATGGCGCACTGTCTATATTGAATATCCATCAATGGTTTTAAAACACAAACATGCACACTTACAACATTTTTGTACTTCAAGCTTATGTATTTTATATCTAAAAATAAAATAATCAATAGGTTTATAGGCATGAGAGGAGGGTGTTCCCAAATAGAGCAACATTTATTTGAAATATCCCTCACTTAGATCCCCTAAGCATGCATGTTTATGCTGGTGAAAGAAGGAAATGTAGAGGAGTAAAAATAGCGATAGGCCAAAAATATCAAATATGTAGTGTTCATCACGTTGATTTACTAAAACTGGAGAGTGCAAAATACAGTGCAGCTCTGCATAGAAACCAATCAGCTTCCAGGTTCTCCTGCCAAAGCCTAAATGAACAAACCAAAGCTAGAAGCTGATTGGCTACCATGTACAGCTGCACCAGATTTTGCCCTCTCCAGTTTTAGTAAATCAACCCCTTAGCGTGCTAAGAGCCATTTTATAGTATACACTGACTTATCATTCTTAGGTGTTTCAAGGGGTTTCCACCCTGAACAAGGTAATCTTTTTCACATGCAATACTTGGATTGTTACTGGTATTAAGCCAATTCATCAATGTTTTACTTTTAGCCTGAAAACTGCCTAGATGAATTCTTAAACCTGAAAAACTTTCATATGTGTTCATAGAATTGTTTGTTTGCTCTGGTGAATGAAATAAGAATTGGTATGCAGCCAGCTGTTGCTGACATAAAGGATTTGAACAAAAAAACAAAAAACAATTAATTCAAACAAACATCCCACCCATTTTTATTTTACTTGACTTTTCAAGCTCTCTATTAAAAATTGTTCTGTATTGTAATGTAGTTTTTACAAAATTGTTAAACCCCACTGAATATATGTATAAAAGTCTAATACTAAAACCACAATAGAGAAATGTTAGAACATAGTCCTTAACAATGATGGTATCCTGGTAGACTTGCTTAAATCAATCATGGATGATAACTCTAGACAGAATTAATCCCAGTGTTGTTTTAAATAATATAATATTGCATACACTTCCTGTGACTCAAAGCCTGTTTATTTTGTAGAGGAACAACAGTGTAAGCTTGAGCTGATTTAGGTGCTAAGCCTGGCCCTGAATACAATTTCTCTTTGAAAATACGTATTTGAATAAAGCTGCCATAAAGTCCTCTCCTGCTTTTTAATGTGGATAACCTATGTATTCTGGGGATAGTTTGTGGCATAGATTGTATACTTTAGAAAAAATGTTTTTGTAATTTGTGGATACAATTTCTGTATTTCAAATTCAAATTCAAATACCCTCGTTTCATAAAGTGGTTGGGTTGTAATTAAACTTCTACAGTCATGTCAGTGAATTATTTTCTAGCCATGTCATCTTTGATTGAGAACCTTCAGTCAAAGGGGTTGAATCACTAAAGGTGTAGAGGTTACATAGTTAGTCTGGCTGAAAAAAGAAAAAAGTCCATCCAGTTCAACATAAAAAAAAAAGTTATAATCCTATACCCACCTTGGAAATTCCTTCCTGGTCCCCCAAGAGGCAATTAGATATTCCCTGGATAAACTTTACCTATACATTTTAGTAACCAGTTATATTCTGTGTATTCAAGAAAGAATCCAGGCCTTTTTTAAAGCAGTCCACTGAGCTAGCCAGAACCAGCTCTTGAAGGAGTCTATTCTACATTTTTGCTCTTACTGTGAAGAAACCTTTCCGTATTTGGAGATTAAATTTCTTTTCCTCCAGACGTAAAGAGTGCCCCCTCTGTGATGACCTCAAGGTGAATAACTCTACACTGAGTTCACTATATGAACCGCTGATGTATTTATACATGTTGATCATATCCCCCCTTAATCTCCTCTTCTCAAGAGAGAATAAATTCAATTCCTCTAATCGTTCCTCATAGCTGAGCTTTTCCATATCTCTTATCAGTTAGGTTGCCCTTCTCTGTACTTTCTCCAGTTCCCCAATGTTCTTTTTGTGAATTGGTGCCCAAAATTGAACTGCATATTCCAGATGAGGTGTTACTAATGATTTGTACAGGGGTAATATGATATCCCTCTCTCTGGAGTCTATACCTCTTTTAATACAAGAGAGGATTTTGCTCGCTATAGAAACCGCAGCTTGGCATTGCATGCCATTATTAAGTTTGTGATCTACCAGAACCCCCAGATCCTTCTCCACCATTGATCCCCCCAGGTGTACCCCCCTAGTATGTATGATGCATGCATAGTCTTAGCCCCCAAGTGCATAACCTTACATTTATCAACATTAAACCTCATTTGCCACATAGTTGCCCAATTAAACAGTGCATTGAGGTTGGCTTGTAAGTTGGAGACATCCTCTAACCTCCCTAGCAGTCTGTTTATGTCCATATTTCTGTGCTCAAAGTGGTAAATTTTTTTGCATGGAAATATATATTTTTTTTATTGTAGGCCTGTAATTTTTAGGAATAACTCACTGAAATCTGTCGAACAAGAGTCTAGCAAACATTCCGGGTAGGATAAAACTTGAAACCCCAAATCATAAATTATAATTTAATAAATAATCATAAAAAATAATAATATAATAATAATAAATTTAATTCAATAATATAATCAAACTAAAAACACTGAAATTTGAAATATAGTGCCAAGTTCTCACATCACTGATCTTAGTCGCAAAATGGTTTTCAGTGTCTGATGACGAATTTCCCCACAAATCATTATCACTCAATTCTGCAAGTGGTTCTGATTTACTATCGCTGATCTCTAGCTGGTCTAAAACCGCTTTTGACCTAAAGGGACGCTTTTTGGACGCCATGGACTTTTCTAAGTTTCCAGGCAGAAAGAACAGTAAAAATGCAGGCAGGGCACAGGACAAAGCACTAGGGACAAAATGTATGTGAAATGGTTTGATACAGTAATGTTTTACTATGTGATTTTAGTGATTTTAGTGAATGTCGCTTTTTGCCATTTTCAAATTTCCCGCCATTCTGTCCCCCGTACGTCCCGACGCTCGCAGGGGACGGAACCCAGATGACAGATGCCAGCACCCGCCGGATTACATTGCTGGGGACACTGCAGGAGGGACATCGCGGGAGCGCAGGACAAGGTAAGTGATCGAGGGATCCCGGAGCAGCGCCGCATGGTAAGCCTGAGTGTAGCTCGGGGTTACCACTTGTGGTACTGAAACTTTACCCCGAGCTACACTCAGGAATACCGCCAGGGAGGCTAAGGATGTTATTCCACTGCACAGCTTGGTGTCATCTGCAAAGACTGAAATGGTATTTTTATTCCCAGACCCTATATTGTTTATAAATATATTAAAAATTAAGGGTCTCAACACTGAACCTTGGGGTACACCACTGACAACCCTAGACCATTCAGAGTATGAATCATTAACCACTATCTGAATACGATCTTTTAGCCAGTTTTCTATCCATTTACATACTGATTTTTCCAAGCCTGTAGACTTCCCCTAGCAAGTGAATATCTACTTTGCAAATGTTTGCAAATGGGGTGAACTTGAATATCCAATCATATGCAAGAGGAAATAAAGAAACAGGTCTCTTCTCGCACATTATCTGGTATTCAAAGTAAGATGCAGGTTCATCTTAATCACTTATATTCACTTTGCAAATTGAACATACCTTTTTTAACATGAACATTCACTTTTGTTGATAAACAGTTTTTCTATTTTGAAAATCAACCCCAAGATGTACATTTAGGCTAGGTTCACAACAGAACACGGTGCTGGAAACTCGCAATCCATATGAGTTTCCCGCACGTTGTTCAAAACACATTGCAGTTGCAATCTGTAGTGGCTGTTATTGTTAAGTTAATGACAACCCAAACACAAGTCGCAAACGCAGTATATATGCCTGCCCCAGATCACATGGCATAAGTATACCATGTGGTCCAGTTACAGTGTGTTTACAAAAGTAGTATATGCACTACTTTTGATGCAATGCAGTGCATTTTGAGCCCATTCAGAATAAACAGGCTCAGATTGTACCTCACTGAATTGCATGTGACTTGAACAGGAATGTGTTCTTGTGCATTTCATAATGTGAACTAGGTTATAGTGAACCTTTCTAGTTGGAGAAAACATATAATACCATCTAAAAAAATGCAGATCTTTCCTTATCACTGGTCTATAGTTTTTTACTGTCTTTGATATTTTACATTCACTTTTTTATGTTGGAATTGTAAGGAGTATCTCTGGCTTGAACTCTGCACAACAAATAACAGTTATTCCTTAACAGTAGAACAATAGTAAAAAATTAGACATTTAAATGTTGCTTAACATATGAAGTTATTGCCTACATGTATTTTTTATTTTGTTATCCCCCCCTCTTGCCAATCCTACCAAATACAAATCGATCCTGCCAGAGCTTTCTGTTGTACGTAATTTCCTGTTACAAGGTGAAAATGTTAGACTGCCACCTAATAAAATAGCATTATTGTCACTCTTATGTCAGCTGTGTCCACAAGGCCACTCCAGGGAGAGAACTTGAACAATACTTTATCTCTTTTGATGGAACAGCCATTAGCAAGTCCATTAACCTCCAGCACTGCCCATTTCCACCACACTTTTGTTCCATATAAGCTGACTCTCCACACAGCATCCTAAACTCCCAGGTGCCAAGGCTGGTAACAGCCAAAATTAAGCAAGGGAGCTTGGGAATCTTTATAGTTTATTAGTTTAGAATAGTTTATTCGCAACCTGTACCTTATGGTGGGATGTCAGAAGAAGGATAGTCCCGCCCACTACCACCCTCTATTTCTCTAAAGAAAAGACTGCTTAGGGCAATGGAAAAACAAAACTATTTAATAAAAGAGGCAAGTAATATTTTTTTTTTACATGGGCAGCTGTGAAAATCTCAAAGGCTTTTAACTTTTCATTGGCATTGAAAATGGATGCTGTTATTACATGCCTCTAGCTGTACTTTAAATTACACTATTCTTTAAAGCGTCATAGGTTTTATTACCATTTCTTAAGTGTGTAGAAATCACAGCATGCAAACAGTATTGTGCCCATTGCTTGTACAAGATCCTTTCTCTTTGTCTTTCTATTTGAATTACTAGTTCAAGGAGCAAGCACACATTTGTTAGAGTATATACAAAGCGGAATTACCATTTTACTTGTGTTTAAGTAAACATGCCAGTTATGGAAAGGTCAGTGCAGAACAGTTCACAAGAGCCTGAGGGGGTACAGTGACCTTTATACAAGATGCATCTTTCTTGAATGTGCAATGACATCTCTTGTTATACAGTAATAAAGTGCAATATCAATTTATCCACCTTTTTTTATTCCAGAAATATTAGGATTGATATGAAAATGTAGTTTAAATTATTTTGTAGTAAATATTAAATTCAATTAGTACAAAGAATACTAGTATATAGCTGATGAAACTACAATTTATATAAAATAATTTATTCATAAAACATTTGCCTGTAGAAGTAGTTTTATTTTTTGCATTGATTACTTTATTGTGCAATTATAAAATAAATTATTGATGAATCCCTTTGAAGAAGGTGAGATACTTTTCACATTTTAATCACCTCAACACTGGACACTTTCACCCCTTCCTGCCCTTGCCATTTTAACTCTTTCAGAGCTCTCATACTTTGAATGACAACAAGTTATGCAACACTATAGCCAAATGAAATTTGTTTCATGTTTTGAGACAGATAGAGCTTTATTTGGGTGGTATTTAATCACCACTGCTTTTTAATTTTGTGCTATATAAACAAAAAAGTACAGAACATTTTGAAAAAAAGACACATTTCCTTAGTTTCTGTTATAAAATTTTGCAAATAAATAATCTTTCTTTATATATGTAGGCGAAATATACTATGCTACATTCTTTTCATTAAAAACAACTCAAATAGGCATATATTATTTAGCCTGTGTGAAAGTTACAGTTTACAAACTATGGTATATATGTTTGAAAATTGACCAATCCAGATGTAATCACTGCCTATCTTATTCCTTAAGGTCCTAAAATGGCAGGACAGTACAAATACCACCAAACTGACCCCTTTTTGTAGAGAAGACAGTCCAGGGAAGATTAAGAAATTAAACATTTTTTTTTTCAGTGTTGTAATTTTAACAAGTTATTTCTCTCACACAGCATAGACATACTTTTAAAACACCCCAAACACATTCTGCTATGCCTCCTGAGTATGAGGATACCAGATGTGTGAGACATTTTCACAGCCTAGATGTATGGAGAAGCCCTGAATCCAAGGAGCACCTTTGGTCTTTCGAAGAATCACACATGTAATTTCATGACTACCTATCACATTTTTGAGACCCTGGAGTACCAGGACAGTGGAAACACCCATAAAATGAACTTTACAGGTACAGAAGCAGGACACACATAGATTTCTATAAAATCATATACAAAATGTTATTATTGCAAATTAGAAAAAAAAAAAATCACAGTAAAGTCACATAATTACCCATAGGTTCTAAAAACAGCCTATATGCAATGATAAATGAATACCAACTGTGACCTATCTCTCACAGTAGCTTGTTTATTCTTGTTTCTGTATTCTATGTCTGATAATAGGGGAACTCCCTAGCTGGGCACTGAGACATAAACAATAGGAAAGTGGCGGCACAACATACAGGCAAAATTAGCCAAAATGATCTACAGAGAAATAAACTTCATCAATGGCCACAAATGTATGATGGATCTAACGGAAGCCAAGTCCAGTGCCAGAGACAAAACTGTGTCACCTCTTGTATATTCCCAGGAATATTGAGACCGTATATGATGGATTAAGCTATGTCTCATATCTCGATTTTGTCAACAAAATATCAAGAATATTAAATGAAGCAAATAGCACTTACCCAACAATAGTCCAAACCCTGAGGCATAGATGGATGAAAAACTTTACCAAAAAGATTCCACCATTATTCCCCTTTCAGTACTGCCAGAACATCTGTCCAAAGTCCAGGATTCCTTTGTGGTACTTGGCCACAGCTATCACATGGAATATGATTGGCCCTGTACCATGTGATCAATGTGAACAACCATAGGGAGATCACAGTAGTAAGCAATACCATCATGAATGACAGCCCATGTTTCCTACTAGACATGTGATCTCTGTGATTGGTCACAGTGATCACATGGTACCAGGGTGGAGCACAGTGGCACAAGGCAATGTTTTGTGAGGACTTTGAGTATGTCCTCCCAGAACAATGCTTGATCTGCCTGGCCATATACGTACAGTGGTCAGACGGGAAGTGCCTAAAGGTCAACTATAATGGTTTTGAGTTAAGTTTGTAACATTTTTTTAGGTGTTTATACTGTACATTTTAAAGATAGATTTTAAAATGGTTGCTGTTATTTATATAAAGTCATTATATTACAAACAAATATTTAACCAGGTACACCCATGTTATTGGATTCACAGAGCATTATAGTTTATCTAAAGAAATAGTACAGCAGAAGTAGTTTATATCTACTTGACAAGAACATTGTTTGAATTATTACATTTTAGCTATGAAAATTATAGATAAAAAACTGTCATCTGCACTATTAGTTGCAGTAAATATAGATGCTTCAGCATATCACAAAAGTAATGCATGGAATAACCCTTGCTTTTAACAGTCAAGCACATGCTGAAGCTTTAGAAAAAAATAAAACCTTTTGAGTCTACTTCTCCTTCTTAGCATATCATTGTTTAGCAGGTCTGAACAAGGCAAAACAATCTCAGATCCATTTGGAGGTAGTGGACACGGAGAGAACATTCTATATTCCATATTAGCTTTTGCATTAGGTCAACAGGTCATGTTTAGGATTTCAAACATCATTTAGGAAAATATCCTTAAAGGTCATTAAAAGAGAGCTAAATTTTAAACATACTTTTACAGGTCAAGTATAGGCCCTGAATGAGCCCCTCTGTTTTCTCTGTAGACCCAAAAAAGAGGCCCCTTGCCCCCTTGGACTATGTAGTACATGAAGCACTTCTACTAATTTACTCCCAGATGTATCCTACTGTTGATAAATGATATTGAATATAAAGGTAACTTGGAGAAACATGTTGCTTGCAATTTATGATAGTCTTCTGAAAATGCTAGTTGATTGGCTTTCTCTGGCTTCAATACTTTGAGTAATTGACCACAAACAATTTTCAGCAGTGTGGGTCAGAGTAAAAAATTAGGATTAATATGACAGCTAAGAAACCAGCATTTTTAGAATGAAAGATCTGGAATTTCAGC